TGCATCTCCGTCGATGGTCATATGCGCAATGGCAAAAAATTGAATATGTTATAACTTCTCCTCAACGAAAACACAACCAAAAGAAATAAAAAGCATGTTATAACTCGAATTTTGCATAAAGATATAGGACGCTCTACAGACCAGCAAGTTGTGCAGCGGCTCGTACACAAGTACCTCCAAAACTAAAGAGGATTGGCACCACTAAGAAGACAGTACCAGGGCACGCCCAATCCAGGTCTTGAAGGCAACTTTAACATCGAGGAGATCCAAAGAGCCTTGCATGATCTCGACGGCAGGTGGGCCCCTGCCCGGACGGTATATAAAATAAGGCCCTTCGTAACCTTGATGACGATTCAATTGACACACTGAAGGATATGATGAATGCAGCATGGAGAGAAGGCAGGGTGCCAGAGCAGTGGAAGCTGGCCAGCACGATCCTTATTCCTAAGCCAGGAAAGTACCCTAGCTTGGACAACATGAGGCCACTATTCTTGACATCATGTATCGGCAAGGTTGCAGAAGATGCCATACTGCACAAGATAAACAAGTACTTGGAAGATAACGACATATATACACACAATATGGTTAGATTCGTGGCAGGGCTATCCACACAAGACGCAATGAAGCTTATCAAACAGGAGGTCATCGACAACGAAACCAGAGGCGTTAGTGCCATTCTGTGCCTGGATCTAGAAAAAGCGTTTGACAACATCTACGACTTATTCATACTCGAAGCAATTTCCAAGCTTGGTCCAGGGAAAGCCTTCTATGAATATGTATGGTCCTTTCTTACAGATCGGAAAGCCGTGATGAAGATTGCAGATATAGAGACTGCAGCAATCGAACTGGAAGCAAGGGGCACGCCGCAAGGGGCAGTGATTTCACCAAAGCTGTTCAACAATGCCATGATTGGACTGTAAAAGAAATTATCGAGCATTAAAGGATTGAAGCACAGCGCCTACGCACATGACATTACCATCTGGTGCACACGTGGAAGTGAGGGGCAGATTGGGAGCACCCTGCAAGAGGCGATTGACACCTTAGAAGAGTACCTTCGTCCTTCTGGGCTCAAGTGCTCCTCGATTAAGTCAGAACTTTTACTGTATCGGACTGCACGCCGGGGAACGAAGTCCAGGGGACGGAAGCCGTTAAACCAGATAGACATTCACCTCCGTAGAAATCAAGGGGATGCCATCCAGAGGGTCGACTCCATCAAAGTCCTGGGCATGCTGATAGAGTATACCAGCACTAACAGCAAATCTATAACCAAGTTGACTTGTAAAACAGACAGTGCGGTGCACCTTATCAGCAGAGTGGCCAATAAAAAAAATTGGATCAATGAAGACAACCTCATCAGATTCATGCATGCGTTTGTTCCAAGCCATTTGACGTACGAGGCAGCAATGCACAACTGGTCTAGAGCAGTGTCCGAGACAGTGAATGTGCTCCTCAGAAAAGGTGTCAAGAAGGTCTTGGGCCTACCCATACATCACAGATAACAGGCCTGTCGAAGCCAGACGGTGACTTGGATGACTAGGCGCGGCATATCGGCAAACGAGAGATGACATACATAATGAACAGCTTGTTACGCAAAAGTATCAGAGAAAGAAGATACGTAACTCTTTTACACGACACCTAAACAAACATCATACTAACGGAAACGATATTACCTAATCAAGAGAATGTTCAGATAAAGATTGAGCTATGTTTGAACAGATTATACCCGGCTTGAAAGATGGTAGGAAAATAGTCATGTGATATTTGTGCAGCAATTAAGTGATTTGAGGGAATTTTCTAAATTGCGTTTCGTCGTTTAAAACAAACACTACCGGGGAGGAATTGAAAACAGAAGGAATGCAGACTTTTCTAATATCATTGCCCTATCATGTTTTCACGAATGGTACAGAAAAGCGGGAAGTTTTTCTCGATATACAAGGGGCAATGCACTTGTTTTTGAACTTAAGAGTTCCAAAATTACCGTAATACCACAGGTTGAATAAATGACGCTTGGCAAGATGACAGGCTAAGTAAAGAAAATAAATTTTCATTGTATGGTAAAGTACGATTGGAAACAATGGATTTGAACATGCTTTTTTGAAATGTTATCAACCCTACACTGCAATCGTGAAGAACAGAAAGCAAATATTGTGATAGAATAACGCAGGACACCGTACGCAAAGCAAGCAGAATGGTCACTTAAGTATTGCTGGGCGCAATTGATCTAATATATTAAAATATAATAATAATATTAATATAATAATAATAATAATAATAATAATAGCGTCAACGACGAAATTGTGAACCTAATAGAACGCACGTCCTCTTTTCATTTTATAGGAAATGCTCTTTCATCTATACATAGAACTAGTGTGATCGAAGCATCACAAATATGGCACCACCGTTTATGAGAATTTCTTATGGGGCACCGTTGGAGCACCGGTAATGACGGTATATGTCTGCGACGCTTGTGTTGGCTGGTGTTGAGCGATGCTTCGGCTCAAAAGAGGATACGACCATGCAAATAATTCTTCTCTAAAACAAAGATGTTATGAACAAACCTTTTTCACGCGTATTATATTGTAGAAAAAGTCTTCTTACATTGGTCGCACAATCAAACGGCGAAATAAAGAAACAAAAGACAATTGAAACACTCGCTTCGTCGTCTTTCTGCCAAGTTTGGTGACCCATGGTTAATTTTGTACGCTTCTTAAAACTGCACATCGACGCAAAAGCTTCCAGCGTTAAGTAAAACACGTTTCTATGGAATGAGAGAGAAAACGTTTATTAGGCGTTCAAAGAGTAAATGTGGAAAGGTCCCTTATCCAGAAAACCTAAAAGACAAATAGCTTCTTACGTGCTTTTTTGTTAACAAATAAATGAATTTGACGCAAGGAATGCATGGAAGCCAGACATGTATTCGATGTGCCCGGGCTCTACGTGAGCGATACAAATCAGCGTCAACTTTCAAGCTCATATATACCCTCGTTCACTTGCATTCAGCAGCTCACTAGCACCAGATGTTCCTCTAGGTAAGTTTCTAAGGAACTCTATGCATAATTCCTAAACAAATTGCGTAACATCATTTGACAGAGATCATTATGATGTTGGCTTATATGTATGACTCGCATGCACTCTTGGGGGTATTTCTAATAAACGAATAATACTATAAAAGGGATCAGATATAATTGTATATCTAATGCATTATGAAATGAATAGACCAGATAATTTTTTAATTTAGAAATTTGCAATCAAAGCCATCCTGATTTGATTAGAAATCTTCCTGCAGTAGAACTGACATCCCGGTGACAACGACCTGATGAGAAGGCTTCCAAGAAGAGAACCTTAGAAAATATTTTTTTCTTTTTTTCAGCTCATTGACTTGATCTTTGTCCCTGGAAGATTTCCGTAGCCAGTATGACTTTGCCCTGGCAGCAGAATCAGAGGCATTGCAAGATTTCTGCACTGCACGCGCCTCCGGGACCCACACCTGTGAAAAAGCGATGATGTCACATTTTACCTAGCGTTCGTTTTTTCACAGTTAGGATAGGAGGAAGCTGTAGTTGGCTGTGGGTATAGAAGAGAAGACACCTCCCAACGAGTCTCCCTCATTTTACGTAGACATATACCTAAGCGTAAGCGTATGCACGTTCTCGCATTCCGGCTTTGTAAAAATGCTGCGGTGCATGGAACCAGCGAAATTGCGCTCACAATTTCATTTGATTACTGCTGTTATCTATTTCCGCACAATTCGTCTGCAGGCACCAAAGTCGCTCATGTGTCTTGTAATAAGAATATTGTAACAAAGGCTACCTTTGACTATAGGTACAAAACACCCTTACGTTCACCACTATTCCGTGCTAGATTGCACCGAAATAGTTAAGTAGCAGCGCAGCTTCAATGAAATGTAAGGTAACTGGTCGCGTTAAATAGGGGAAGATATTGGAGGCACATTTTCAAACATTGCATGCATCGATTTATGTGTGGTTTCATTTATGTGGTACACCTGGAGTGTTGTTTACTTGTACTTGGCGAGATAGTGCATGGATTGCTCGGTGGCTTAAGGCCATCGAGCAATTATTTTTTTTAGCTACAGTCGTTAATTAAAGGCGAGTGCTTGGCTTTGCACAGCCCACCAAAACGTCTATTACAACGTACGCGGCATCCCGTAAGCGCTGTAGCAGACGCTCGCGGATTTGAAACTTAGATGCAGCAAATCATTGGCTATCATCGTATACTCTCGATGCTAGACGCTTTGCGTGCTACCTTGATATTATCAGCACACACTTCTTTCTTTCCTTGTCGTTTCATCGGCTATTGTGTGTCCTCCTTGCCCTCTTAAGTGCCGAATAAGTTAAATTCATACCCGCGCTATAGTAATCCCTCCAGATAAGAGAACTTTTGGCTAAGAAAATGCGTAGCCAAAGAGAAAGCTTTGTGAATTCGGCCCCAGAGGCATTGCAAGATTTCCGCACTGCACGCGCCTCCGGGACTCACACCTGTGAAAAAGCGATGATGTCACATTTTACCTAGCGTTCCTTTTTTCACAGTTAGGATAGGAGGAAGCTGTAGTTGGCTGTGGGTAGTAGAAGAGACTTTACTAAATTGTTTTGAGTCTTTATTCGCTTCTGAAATTTATCTGCTTTGGTAGTAGCTGATGAAAGGCATACATTTATAGCTGCTCCATCTTTTCGTACTTTCTGTGATGCCTCAGTTGTTCTATTTCAAAATATGCCTTTGTGCATATGCGGTTATGGCGAAAGCAACCTTTCACTTCTTTAGTGGTACTGACGGAATGTTTGGCCTACCCTTCATAGTGGGGATATGTCAAAGTGGGTAGGAAGTCATCATTGCCATCTGATTGGGCGCAGTGATTTGGCACTTGACATGTCCAACTGAACTCTGCCCATGACCGTTGGTCTCCAGTCACTAACTCACGGCATGGTTCGGCGCGGTTTTCGCCCAAGCTGAAAAACAAAGCAGGTTCCATCCCGCAGCCAGAGATGACGTCTTATGGATCACCTGGCACCTCCAGACCTCAGACGCAGAGACCGGACGTCAACTACCTGCGCGATATCTTCAACAAGGTCGACAAGGATCGCAGCGGTCGGGTTGACGCCAACGAGCTGCAGCAGTGTCTGTCTAACGGCACCTGGAAGCCCTTCAATCCTGAAGCGGTACGCATGATGATCAACATCTTCGACCGCAGCCGCACGGGCACGCTGAGCTTCGACGACTTCGTCTCGCTTTGGAACTACATCAATGACTGGCTACGGTGTTTCCAGGACTTTGACAAGGACGCTCGGGTTCTATAAACAGAAACGAGCTTCGTGACGCACTCAGGAGCTTCGGATACCGTCTGAGTGATGAATCGGTCGATCTTATGCTCATGAAATACGACCCTGAAAGGAAAGGATCGATAAACTTCGATGACTACATCCTCTGTTGCGTCACTCTTCAGACGCTCACCAGCGCCTTCAAGAGCTACGACACTGACCAGGACGGCTACATCACGATAAGCTACGAAAACTTTCTGGAGCTCGGGCTAAGTGTTTTCACGCCATAAGCTTAAGGTCTTCTTGACCGTGATATGCTCAAAATTTCCTTAGACTTTGTGACAAAGTGCAAGGTTTTGTGAAAGATCTGTGAGGCCCAGCGAGATATTGTAGCCTTTATGGTGTCGATAGCAGACTCGCTGCGGCCGTGCGTACATGAGTTACTCACTACGAGAGCGCTTCGTTTGCCTTCAGTAGTGCATTAATGGTAATTGAAGTTTAATAAACAAGATCAATACACTAATTTCGATCCCTCTGGTGAAAGTATAAACACTGCGGTTGCTTTAAAATTAGAACTCGATTTTACGAACAGCACCGGCGTGTATATTATGTCTTGCTCTGTATTTCTTGCGAGGGAAGAGTTATACGCACACGCTCGATCTATTAGAATACGACACGCAATTAGCTGTCAATTGTTTGAATCTGCTGCAGATAATTTTTTGCTTCGTGGCGTATCTAGGCAATAGTGATCATCATCAAACATTTGATGTGGCAAGCCCACCCCTTCCGGATATCATCATAAGTGAAGAGGGAGTTCTTAATCTGCTTTTAAAACTGGATGTTAAGAAATCTTCAGGTCCGGATGGAATACCGAATGAGTTCTTAAAGCGCTACGCTCAATGGGTTTCAAAGTACCTAACAATTCTCTTTTCTAAATCTCTGAAAGATGGTCAAGTTCCGGATGACTGGGTAACTGCTAAAGTCAAGCCCTTACATAAGAGTGGAGATCCCCATTCTGTTACTAACTATCGGCCGATCTCATTAATTTTAACTTCCTGTAAACTCATTGAGCATATAATACATAAGCACATTTCAGACTTCCTAGATAAGCACAATATTTTGTCAGATTCACAACACGGATTCAGGAAAGGATTTTCTACTTGTACTCAGCTGGTAACAACAGTACATGATTTTGCGCTATCTATAAATTCCGGAAAACAGGTAGATGCAATTTTTATGGATTTTGCTAAAGCTTTCGATACGGTCTCACACAATAAATTACTCTTCAAACTTGATTTAATTCTTAAAAATACCCAGCTTCTAAACTGGATTTCTGGTTATCTTTTGAATCGAAAACAATACGTCTCTTTCAATGAACATTGTTCTCGTACAGTACCGGTTGACTCGGGAGTGCCCCAAGGCTCCGTGCTTGGGCCGCTCTTCTTTTTGTTGTTTATAAATGACATATCACATGATATACCTGTAAAAGTCAAGTTATATGCGGATGACTGCATTCTATACTCGGAAGTTGAAAACCATACCGACCAAATTCATTTAAACGACGCATTTCAAAAGGTCATTCGTTGGTGTGATAAATGGCAGATGTCAGTTAATTTTAAAAAGACTGTTTTCATGAAAATTTCCCACAACGTACCCCTCTTCATTTTGCATATTCAGCCAATAATGTTTTTTTGCAGGAGGTACAACACTACAAGTACCTTGGTCTTTGGATTTCGAATGACCTAAACTGGACAAGACATATTAATACTGTAATAAGCTCGTGCAATTACAAGCTATTTTATCTTAGACGAGCTCTCAAGCTTTCAACCCCCGCCGTTCGCCTTATTGCTTTTAATGCAATTGTTCAACCTTCTTTAGATTATGCTTCCATAATCTGGTACCCTCACACCAGAAAAAACATTAGCGAAATGGAAAAAATTCAAAAGAGAGCTGTTAGATTTATTTATAACAGTTTCGGCCGCACTTCAATAACACGTTATTATCAAAAGCCAATCTTTCAACACCTACTCAAAGGAATAAAGTATTAAGATTGAAATTTTTCTTTCAGTTAGTTAAAGGTTTATTATAAGTTAGACTTATCACACATACTTAATTTTCTCCACGGGATATGCCACAAGACAGAGGCATTCCCTTACAATAACCCCATTCTCCACCCGTAATAACACGTTCAAATATTCATTTTTTCCGAGGACAATCATCGAATGGAATAACCTTAGTAATGAAGTGTTTCCCAGTCTTCCTTGAATCTTTTTGCTGCGCAGCTCCAGCAGTGAGTGTCTGATATGTGATCCTGCTTTTTATTTCTATCACTGTAGCAATTCCCCACTCGTGACCAACTTGAATATAGCGCTGATTTCATTATATGCCCTTATGACTGTTCATTGCAAACCATTGTCTTTTTGTGTACATACCTCACCTGTTTTATATTTACTTGTTTGCCGATTTGTTAATTTAGCAAATGTGTATCCACCCTGCTAAAACCCTATGTTAGGGTTGCAGTATTCATAAATAAATAAATAAATAAATAAATAAATCATCATTGTCCTGACTAAGCCAATTGCAAGACAAATACATTTCCCAAGTTTGGCCAAACTATCCGATCATATGCTCGTTGCGGTTATATTATCCCCTTCATATTCCCAACCTCATCTGCCCGCCTAACTGTACAGCACACTCGGCTATGTGCACTCCCCGTCATATCTTTGAGCACCACGAGGCACAAGAAAAAAAATTGCCCGCAGCTTCCCTCGGGGGAACACTGAGGAGGATGCGGACCATATAATTGGTTAACGGGGTGTTAAAGTGCGACTTACTTGGGTCGATGGCTAAATTGGTTAACGTGGTTGTGAAATGGGGTGTTAAGTTGCGACTTACTTGGGTCGATGGCTAAATTGGTTAACGTGGTTGTAGGAGGGGGTGTTAAATGAGTGAACACGTACACACGTATGCGAAAGGGCGGCGCTGGTCGAAGGGACGTCGATCATTGTGTTTGTGGATTCGTTGGAATTCATTTCACCGCGACCTTGGACGTCGACGCGCCGTACAACCAACCGACGAGCGGCAACTGAGCGAGCGAGCGCCGACCTTGAGTATATACAGCACGACGGCGCATGCACTGTCAGCTGTTGAATGTTCTCGAAGCGCGACGCCACATGCGCGTCCACTGGAGAATCAGGAGAATTGTAGATGTCGAACGCGGTGTGTAGAGGAGGAAGGGTGCACAGATGGTGGAGGAGTGAAGCGCGCGCGGTGTGTAGAGGAGGAAGGGATGCACAGATGGTGGAAGAGTGGGCGACGGCGCGACGGCGCATGCGCGCGCGTCAGCTGTCGAATGTTCGAGAAGCGGTGCGGACGGCGCGGACGGCGCACTACAAGGCGCGAGTATAAGATGCTCCGCATCTAAAAGCCTAATATCTCCACTGATTCGGCAGGCCGTCTTGAATTGATATTTTTTGCATGTTCCTAAGTGCTCTGAGGGCTTGCACAGCGTAGTTCAACCAATTGTAGCCCCCATAAATTGCTGTGTAGGTCAGTTTTTTCAGGCCTAGTGCTATCTAAACATTCGCTCCGACTGCCTACCTACAGCCAGTCAAGCAAACTAATAGTCCACGCTCAGCGTCTTTCTTTAGCAAAGTTTTAGGAGTGAAGCCTCTTATAGCGGCACCCGTTCGTCCTTCGTAGTCTTAGTAGTATGTAACAAGTATAACATTTTGACCTCCAAGGTGGTGCCGGTGAGAGATTTCTTCTGTGCATTCTTGATCAATAACAAATTCTGCTCAATGTACATGGCAATGGCTGCTGATGGGGAGTGAAAGACAGGAGCATTCAGCTTTTAGTTAACGCGCACGCTGCAATCCCCATTAGCAGTCATTGGCATGTACAATGAGCACTACCTGACAAAGGGTTGCTGCGTTATACTCGCTGGGTGTAACCTCCTTAGTTATAGAAAGTTTTAGCGAGCCTTGAGCCGCAGTGCCATGAATACAATGAACTAGTGCATACTACGAATGAACTCGAGGTGGTTAAAGGTGGGAAGTAGATACGAAGCGCAAGCCGTAAGAAAGTAAAAGCCGAATTCTCCTGTCTCTCATTTCCCATTAGCAGCCATTGGCATGTACATTGAGCACTATCTGAGAGGAAAAGGTTGCCACGTTATACTCGCTGGGCGTAACCTCCCTTGTTTTAGAAAGGTTTAGCGAGCGTTGGGCTGCAGTGCCATGAATACAGTGATCTAGTATATACCATGAACTCGAGGTGGTTAATAGTGGGAAGTGGACCCAAAGCGCAAGCCGTAAGAAAGTGTGCGTGTGCCACCTCTCGTTGAGTCCTTGGAATGTCCGCTGGATGACGGTGCTTCTATATGGGGAATATATGATGAAAAGATGGGAGATGGTGATACTTGAAGTGTTTAATAGATGGACGAACGTACACACAGACAGATGTATGAATGGATGCACGAACGGACGAAGGGGCGGATGCATGGACGAACGCAGGGACGGACGCGCGAACAGACGCACGCACGGACGGGCGGGTCGACGCATAGACGGTCACACAGACAGACGCATGGACGAACGGAAGCAAGAACGAATGGACGGACAAATGCTTCGCCCCACTCTCCATAATTCACTCCGTGGATATGCTGCCAATTTTTTATTGACATTTTTGTTAAATGTTTTAGATATAACCTGAAATGCTTCTCACAATGTCATATGTACAAATTATCCCCATTATCAAATAGATGATAATTGACTCACGTGATCATTAACAGCGTCGCTCTTTAGGAAAGTTTTTATTGAGATCTTCGTATGATGTTTTAGATATAACCTGAAATGCTTGTCACAGTATCATGTATACTTTATGATTATCCCCATTATCAAATTAGGTAATATTTCACTCACGTGATAATTAACAAAAATTATGAGTTGTTTTATTGCTCTAGTTCAAGATCGGGGCAAACGCTACATTGATCTGGTGCTTGTTCCTACATGCTTTTGTGTCACGTGTTTAAGAAGGGGAGAGAAGACGAAGAGGGGAGAATGGAAGTTGAGGTGCGAGCGACGCCTCGTCCCAATGAAGAAATTCGTCGAAGTGCGATGAGCCTTCGTAAAAAGCACCAACATTACTGGCTTAACCAGGGAAGACTTCAACAACTCTCCCCCTGAATTTTTTTAGGGGCGAAGCTCCTTAGGGCGTGGGCTGTGCGTCCCCTGTATGTAGCCACCTCTAGTTTAGTTCTTGCAGTGTTCACTAGATGGCGGTACCGTCCCCT